TCTAATAGTTGTAAAATATGTTTTCTTTTTCTGTAGACTGTGCCAGGTTATGATGTTGCTGGTGTGGTAGTGAAAGTTGGTAGTGAAGTAAAGGGGCTAAAAGAAGGGGATGAAGTTTACGGAGATATACATGAAAAAGCATTAGATGGACCAAAGCAATTTGGATCTTTAGCTGAGTACACTGCTGTAGAAGAGAAACTAGTTGCTTTGAAACCCAAGAATCTGAGTTTTGCAGAGGCTGCTAGTCTTCCTCTAGCAATTGAAACTGCTTATGAAGGTCTTGAGAAAGCTGGATTCTCTGCTGGCAAATCCATACTTGTTTTGGGAGGTGCTGGTGGTGTTGGATCCCTTGTAATTCAGGTATGTGCGCATTTTAAACCATTTGAATGTATTACTTCAGTTTTATAAAAGCATGATTTCTAGACAATATTTAGGGCGGATTGGTAATGATAGAAAGGAAGAAATGAAATGAAAACGGTGATCACGCCCAACTTTGCCTTATAAAAAGGACTAAGCGGTCGTTGCAAATATAATCCGGTTAACAAGTCAGGAGTCGAATCCCACAGGGAATTAACCTACTAAGCACAGCTACTAGACTCGCACAAATTCACGTAATAAATCTTCAAAAATATTAAATAACGAATTGGATGTTTACTAACTAAAGATCAAGTAATGAAAATGCAGTAATTAATAACTAACGACGAACAAGTTGAAGACAAGATTTGGAATGGTCTAAGGTTATGATTTCCCCTATTATCAGAATCCTCTCTGCTACGTTTCCTATAAATTTGTCTAAGTTTTCTCTACCAATCGTGAACACTTTGAGTGTCGTAATTCTCTTCCGAGTAACTGCCACAATTTACTAGACATATTCTTCCACGCTAGCTGGCACTAAGTCACGGCTCTCTTGGATCGCACCAAGATTTCGTTATTCCAATCCCACCTTTAAACCCTCCGTATTGATCCCTCATATACGTTAGGAGTGATGTTCAACAACTACCTAAATATGTATTCTCTTCCAAGCAATACACACTAAATAGGCACAGTCGATTGAGAGCTCTTCAATCAACCACAAAATAAACGTAGTTGAATAAATAGAGAAAAAGTTACGACAAATCTATATTAAACTAATATGAAAATCATCCTCCAATAGGTTCCATCAAAACCCTAGATTAGAAGTTTAGCTACTCAGATTCATAGTAACAATTTCTCAAGTATTTTGCATAAACAAATTATAAAGAAAAAATGAAGGAATGTAGAACTCGATGATTCTTTCCCCCAAAAGTGGTTCCACGAGCTATTCTTGCCTCAGGCCGCAAAACTCCTTCAAAAATGGTGTTTAATGACTATTTATATGTGTAGGAAAAAACCTAAATGGCATAGCCCAAGTCCAAATCCAACAAGGAGACGAAATAGGCTTTTAAAATCCGGAACATGCTCACTACGGATCTCGCCTCGCGAGGCAAAACACAAGCTTCACCTCGCCTCAGACTGTGCGACGCAAGCCCTGCCGCGCGCTTCAATCTCGCCATAATCCTTGCGTCGCGCACTTCTACGCGAGCTAAAGAACTCGCCTCGCCTGCTCTAACGCGAGCCACTGGGCTTGCTTCGCCTGCTGCTTCATTTTCCCTCTGCTCAATTCTTTCTTTCTTCTCTCCTATTGTTTTCGAGCATGATTTACACTTCAAATATTCACTTTGCTCCAATTTCATCTTTAATATACCTATACATAAAATAGACTCAATTAAGCGCAAATATAGTATAGTTTAGCATTAAAACACCTAAAATATAAGGTAAGTAATGTACTAAAAATATGAAATTACAGCCAAACATCACTACAGTTTTGACTTAAGAATTTACCATCATTTTTATTCATTCAGCAACTTGATTGACTAGCAATTAGTAAAAATCGGATCGTTCTAGAATTGTTTGTTCAAAAAACAACATGTATGTCCATGATTAGATCCATTTTGTGCCATCTAAGTGAGTTGTATGCGATACCAATTAGTTGTGGTTACGATTTAGTCATGTTAGTATATTTTCTTTAGATCTATTTGCTTTCTAAGAGTCTTCTATTCGTGTATGATATTTACATGCAAGTAGAAAATATAGAAAACTTGTAGTGTTTTTTTAGTTTTACCATCCTATATTTGAAATAAGATGAGTTTGAATGGAGCTACATGGTTAATGAGGATTCATATAGCCAGTATCAACTTGCTAGGATTGAGGCATAATTGTAGTATTGCCTTCTAGCAAGACAAGTTCAGCCATCTGAGTTTATTGTGTGATGTAGGTTGCAAAACATGTATTTGGAGCTTCAAAAGTAGCAGCTACATCCAGCACAGGGAAGTTGGAACTCTTGAAAAGCTTAGGAGTTGATTTAGCTATTGATTACACCAAGGAGAATTTTGAACATCTTCCTGAGAAGTTTGATGTCGTTTATGATACAGTTGGTAAGAACTCCGTTGGAACTTATACAATATCCAATCTAGTATAGACACTGGCAGGGCAAGATGCATATCAAAATTTAATGGACATGAACAAAACCAAAAATGCTTTAATTTTACATATGATCACTAAACTCAATAAAGTCACCAAATTATATGTTTCACCTCACATCAAAATAATTGAACTTTACGCACTATATTAAAGTGAACTTTAACCACTATAACAGTAAAGTTCGTTGATAGTCAACTTTTCATTTAAAAACTACAGGTCAGGGCGAAAAGGCGGTGAAGGCAGTGAAAGAAGGTGGAAGTGTGGTAGTGCTAACAGGGGCAGTAACAGCACCAGGTTTTAGATTTGTAGTGACATCAAATGGAGAGATGTTGAAGAAACTGAACCCATACTTAGAAAATGGGAAGGTGAAACCAGTTATTGATTCAAAAGGACCATTCCCATTTGATAAGGTTGTGGAAGCTTTCTCTTATCTTGAAACTGGCAGAGCTACTGGAAAAGTTGTCATTCATCCCATTCCTTGAAAGGTAGCTCTCATTTTGGATAATTTCTAAATATTTGTTCCTCAAAGCTTTATACTAGCGTGTAGTGGATAACAGTAACATGTATTTTGTATCATTTTGGACATAGAGAAAATAAATTCCTAATGAGGATTTTTGTGTGCACTCTTTCTGAAACATGGTTTTCCTATTTTCTGTTTACCAACCTTTGAATTCTTAGCAAAAGGGGGAAAAAAAAAGTACTCCAATAATAAAAAGGTTTTACCAATCGTTGCGTGAGTGTTAGATGTTCTTTCGAAAAAAAAAAATCAAAGCCCCAAGAGTTAAAATAGTTGTCATGTTTACTAAAACTAATTGTTTCAAAAAGTATTAATCATTTTAGAAAATCAAGGAAAAATGATTAATTATCTCCACCTTTATCCTTACTCTGACAAATGTACAGAGAGATTAATACAGTGAAAATAAGAATAGTAATAAATTGAGATAAAAAAATAAATAAGGTCGATGTAGTCTTAATGGGTGTGCAAAAACCAAAAGGAGAAATAAAAGGAACGGAGGGAGTAAGACTGATTTACATAAATACCCACTTTTTGTGGGTATTTAGAAGTTAATCACTTTTTCAAAATTAGATTGGTGATTGAGGTTTCGAAATAACCACCTAATTTGAAGTTAAAATTCAAAATTAATAGCCAAACCACGTGTCTAATTGAATTCTAAATACAACTATACAAGGCCGGAAAAGTGGCCTGCTGGTGTAAACAACCCAAAGAATAATTAGACAAAGTTCATACAAGTCCAAGTAAAAAGGAGCATTTATTTATGTTACATTATAAATTTATTTATCTCTTCTAGAGAGGTTATCACTTAATTAACTAACATATACAATTTACCAATTATATACAAAATAATATAATAGACTCCAATCTTACCCATTTTAGACCTCGTTCTTCTCTATTTTTGTTTTTGATAGTTTCAAGATCAAAATTGTTTCTAATTCGGTCACGAATGATTTGAACGGTTGAATGAAACTATGAATTAGAGTTAATGTGTAACGTATCTTCTTGATAATTTTCTTCCAAAATTCTTGCCCTATTGGTAATTTACTGTATCATTATTTTTCTGTCTTTAAAATCACAGACAACTGCCTCTTTAATTTCCCATTCAATTTCTCCTCTATAAGTTATCGGTTTAAATTTCCTTTTCCAAGTTGTTACAGAGTAATTTTTTATTTGCAATTTGGTCTACAATAATTTCCTTTTTTTGGTCTAGACTCTAGAATAATTTGTCCATAAATATCAATGCTATAGAACTCTTCGTTCAAGGCAAGGGACTTGAATATGTAACTGAATGAAGATTTAATTCTGAATATCACCTTCCGCTTGCCTATGAAGCTTGCAATTTAATGTAAAGTTCCACACAAGAGTTTTTAATAACAAACTATGCGAACCAAATGTTTCTCAAAGTTATGCTTCCCAATGGCTTCGAAGTTTGAATTCAAAAATTAGATTTTGAAAAATTATTATTTGTTTGGATTGGATGTTATTGTAAATGAGTAGGAATATTCTTTGGAGTTTATTCTCAATTTTGAGGGATTTTAGTGAAAATTTGAGTTGGTTTTGGTTGGAATTTTAGATTGAAACTCGAAAAAGAAGACATAAATAAATTGCGAAGTGTATATCAGGTGCACAGACGACATACAAACTACATACAACTAACATAATTATATATATAAGTTGTACATAAGTTTATGAAAAATATAGCGTTTTAGCGGATTCTATAGAAAAAAAACTATATACAAGCTGTATGTATATTGTAGCATTTGACCAATTTCTGTACAATAAAAAGCTATACTCAAGTTGTATATAAATTATAGTTCTTGACCGAATTTGTAATTTTTAAAAAAACTTTAGTTATTTTTATAAATAGGAAAACGTAGTTAAACCGGGTAAATATTATTCTAATTTTGTATATATATAAAAAAATCTCAAGTGAAATTTGTGAAATGAGCATAAGTCCAAGAAAAATCTCATAATAAGCCCAAAAGATCCAAGAAAATTTTATTTCGGTGACAAACAACAACAACAACAATAACATATCAAGTGCAATCTCACAAATGAGATCTGGAGAGGGTCGGTGACAAACGTGGTCCCATAATACAATTACATCAAAATACAAAATGAAGAGAAACTTGAAACAATAGTGGACAGTAGGTTCTATGCAATGATAGTGTCAGTTTTGCAACAGTTGGTTGAACTCAAGATCCCAAAGCTCAAAAGATCCATTCACAAAATCGTAGTGTCCACCTTTCAGTGCAAGGCTTTTGTTCACCACAGCTTCCCTCACAAATGGATATGTCAGTAAGTTGGCTAGTGATTCATTTACTGCCTCCTGCTCAATGTCACACAAATATTTAACTTAATATAAGTATCCGAAGTTGCAAAGTTTCAATAATTGAACTAATTAAAAGATTATACTATTTTGATTACCTTCTCCAATATTGTACATTGTTCAGTGAAATCCTTGTCGCCATGTTCTCTCTTTACCTTTGCCTTTGATATCAAACAGATTTTGACCCATTCTTCGATGAAATGACTGCGACCAACATAATCAAAGTTTAAGACATGGCATATGTTAATAACTCCAGTTTGACTCTCAATCATTATCAGGCATCAAAGAAGAGAAAGGATTTTGCACAAATAGTCATTTTTTACTTTTTCTTTGATTATATACGGTGATACATATTTAATATATAAACTATTCATCTATTATATAATTTTTTAAATTTAAGCAATTGATTAAGCGATTATTTAGGATAATTCTTCTGAGGAAAAACCAACCTGTCTATGGAGCCATCATCAGGGATAGACATGAGTCCTTTTATACCTCCACAGCAGCTGTGTCCCATCACCAAAATATTCTCCACCTATCATGCAAGCTTAGTTTTAATTTACAACTAGAAATAGATAGGAAGAAAAAGAAAAATGTAGGCAATTTAAAAAGTTTTAAGTTAAAATAAGTGTGGAAAGAAATCTCTAATTAATGAAGCATGAAATTATGAACAGATGTAATGTAATATATTTTTTATTTCTATCAAGCGCGTGGATAAAATACTTAAGTTTACCTGTGTCAGTAAACATTAAAATAGCTTTCTTAAATAAAAGCCAATCAAGTACTCGATATCAAAGAAATATATAGGAGTTTAAAATTTATTTTTATGGCTTGTGATTTGATATTCATTTTTCTTTCTTGATATGAATGATGGTATTATTAATTGAAGCATTATTATTCAAATATTTAAAGTATTAGAATTTCTTTTAACTTAATTATGATTGTACGATAAAAGATTATATAAATAGAACATGTCATGTAGTAATATTTGATTTTGTACAAATACCGAGAGTAAGAATTATCGTTTTTGTATAAACAACGAAAGCAAGTGCTGTCTGCCCCACTGCAAAATTAAACGACGTCGTACGTGTTAAAAAGGACTAACCTTTAAGTGGACAATTGCATATTCAATAGATGCCCCAGCTCCAGAATATTTAATCTGTATATAACAAAAATTGGATAAATTTATTTCCAAAACGTTGCATTATTGGTTAAAAGTACATATAAAAAGATAAATAATGGGTTAATGATGCGCGCCAGTATAGTAACATCCATGTTTCAAAACTATGGAAAACTCAAAAAAAGTAAGTTACAAAACTTGATTAGAGTTAATTAACTCCCACCATGCTATCACCTTCACATAGTATTTCTTTCTTCTTCTTATTTTCTTACATATTGTCATGAATGTACTTTTTTGCTTTTCTTGATCCAGCTTGGCTATTGAGTACGAGTACATACAACATGTAATATGAACTTGTTATTTAGGATAATATTCGGAAACATTACAAAGAATATAATTTAAGTTGTGATTTTCTTGTTCCACACAAGACAGAAGAAATGAATAGTAAGTCCATCAAAATTTTGACTACTAATTAGCACAAATTTTTAAAAAGATATACAATTGAGACGATAATATAATTTACCTGGTCATAAGGAGGGACCATGTTGGCTATATTACGGACCATAAAAGCCTCCCCTGGTTGGAAATTAAGTATGTGGGATGGGCACACTCTGGAGTCGGAGCAGGAGAATACCAAAAACTGCATATATTTTTTTTTAATTAGAAATTATAAGCATTCATTAATTGCCTAAATATGTTGACAAGATTTTTACTAAGAATTTTATATTTGTTATTGTGAGGTCATCCAAAGGATAATTAGAAGAAGTGAAATCAATTACTTGGAAAATAAGCTTTAAACAGACAATCAACTACACTCGATACTATTTTTTTTTTTACATTATCGATGTATATAAGTTAAATCGTTCTACCCTTAGACGATACTAGTAATTTAATACACATAGGATCTATGAAAATTGCCCCATCAACCATGTGCATGATCAATAAATTATAAACTCTCAACTATACTGTTGTGTAACTATTTACTACTAGTAGTCAATAGTACGCGCGTTGCGCGTGAATCTTGTCTAAATAAGTAAAAAATTAAATAAATAAAAATATGAGTCCTGAAAATGAACATTGATTCTATATAGCTAATTCAATAAAGGAAAAAAACTGTCACATTGAAGTCCTCAATCATGGTCAATATATTGAGGAAAAAAAGGGAGGTATGAAATAGTTATCTTGGCCGGAAGTCAAGCCCCTAAGACTAGACTATGCTAATTTACCTTGATTAGATGATAATTAAATTGAAGTGAAAATGTGTATTAATTAACTACAATATTGAATATAAAGGTATGTGTCATAAATATAACATGTGGCATAATATTACAAAGCATATGATTTTTATGCTTTATTACCACATGTATATAGGTAGTCACGAAAATGGAGTTATTGTGTATATATAAGCGAAATCCGTTTGCCCATTATATTTCTGTTTATATATTCCGTTTGTATTATATAAAGGAATTATATTAGATCTGTTAAAGTTCTAGAATAATATGAAATAGTGCTATATTTTTAAAAAGTGATCCTTTTCTTATTTGAGGTAAAATCTCAATTGAATGTAAGATCCTAAATATTAGGACTTAATTCAATAAGAAAAGATTTAATAATAAGAATTTAGTTTATTTTAAAGTTCTAAATATTAGGAAAGTAACTTAAATTATAATTTTGTCCAATGTAAAATATATTTTTTAAGGATAAAAAGACTAACGATATTTTGTTAAGAATATCCATGATTTTAATATAGTATAGATTATATGATTTACCTTTGGGCTTTGATCTTTTGCGAGCTCCTCGTACAACTCGGGATCTTTGCTGCAAAAAAAAAAGTAAGTTGAAAGGTTAGAAATGCTGAATTTACAAGGTTAGTTTTGGAAAAAAAGATTATGCAAAAGACTAGAAGAAACTGTTCAAATTAGAAGAATATTGTTTTTTTTCCAAAAAAAAAAAAAGAATCTTCAACCCCATTTGAGATCTTTACTTTTGTATTTTTATTATCATAAAAACCTGAACATTTGGAAACTGTTTCTTTCACTTGCTAGTCGAGGAAACTGTTTAAGGCCACTTTTTTCATCTAAAAATTATATAATCGGTATAGCTGTTATAATGACTTCCTTTCCCCTCTCATACTCCAAACAATAGTTGCATAAATCTTTTTATGCTTTTTACGGCAGAGTAATAGGGATAACTTACTCATATTTCTCAGTCTTGAAGTAGGCGAATCCGGAGCGGATCCTCTCATCCGGGTCAAACTCTTTCCCTCCGCCACTTACCAACTTCTTCACTTCTCCATTAGTGGCGTTTTCATATGATATTTCCTCAGCCATTCTTTTGACCTGCAAACCACAAGAGATAGTTGTTAATCGGCCGTGCGAAATAAAGTCACACATAATAAGTTGATAAGAAAAAACACTACAAAATAAGAATGTATGTAAACTCTTAGTGGTATAAGATCTTTCAGAAAAAAACAAGCCGATAGTATATATCATACTAAGTTAAGAGTATTTTTCTGTTGACTTAAGTTCAACAATGGTAATAACATGTCTAATGATAAACAAAATATTAATATGTCTCGAGTTTGAGTTTGGAGAATTGAATCCTTCCTGACAGGATGCGCTACTGTGAGCCTATATTTGGTTGGAATTCCAAATTATTTGAACAAAAAGAAAATATCCTAAAACTTTAATCCATTTCCTGTAACAACATTAGTTGTTGGAACACCGCCAACATGTAGCCTCTTCTATTGTTTGAACTTAATTACTATGGAAGGTCTAGAAAAATTCATAACAGAGAACTGAATATATGAGAACTATGTGGGGAAAAAAAAGAAGAAAAAGGTTTTGGAGATTATGAAGGTTTAATTGTACCTCTGGTTGAGACGTGAATAAAGTTGTATAGCAAGAAGAAGTTTCTCTTACAAGTAAACACACTCACAAATGCTGTGCTATTACAAGGACAGTATGAAGAGTATTTATAGAAAGGGATTTAGCCAGGTGCAAACACTAATTGCATGGTTTTTTCTTATCTATAGGGAAATTATTTATATTTCTAATGAATATTGAATATTCAACGCCATAATATATGGATCGAACATGGAAAGCTGTCAGCCATGTTTGTAAATCAGTTATAATATATTGGGCATGGGATTCATCTGGTTTCATTTTATCATTTTAAAAAGAAAAAAAATTCATGGTCCAAATGAGACAGCTCAAGAGTTAAGATATAGATATTCATATGCAGTATCATGAGTTGGAGGTCTAGCCCAACATGGTGTATATCAGTGTATAATATATGTTACTAGCTAGAGAAAAAAATACAGTAAATTTGACCGGCTATTTACGTAAAGATCCCTTTATACTTAATGTTAAGTTCATCATCAATTAAATCAGTCTCAATCATAATATGATTAGTTGGAATCGAGTATTTAAATCATATTGTTCTATTTATCAGATCTAGTTTTCATTCAAATACTAATGTCCTTTGAAGAAAATTAATTAGGTGTATATTCTCTAAACATAAAAATTCTCAAGATCACACAGTCTACTCTACATGAATATATAAGTATAATTTCAGCGCACAAAAAAAGAAGTTCATGACAAGAATAACGGACCAAAAGTTTGTGTAACAACAACAACAAAGCATTAATCCTCACAATTTATTGTCACCTATATGAATGCTTACATTGTTTTATGACTTATGTCTTAACTAAACATACATTTATCTTCAGATATTGTAAATCTTTCGAGATTATTTTCCTCTATTTCGTTTCTTTTTATCATGTTCAATCGTCAAACTATTAATACACCTACGAATCGGTCTTTATAAAGTTCTGCATATGATATGACTAAACTATTGATCTCATATGACCTCCCATTTTATCCTCTAAGTATAATATTTGCACCAGCTGTTAGAAGTGATCACCGACACTGTTAATATGTCAATATCGTTTAATTGTACATCCATCTTCATACATGCATTCACAGTTCCTTTTGGACATAGTTTTGGAAGAATTTGTAACTATTTATCTAAACAACCGTGTTTTCTTGCTAGTCTTAACAAGTTTTAATTAAACTTTCAAACATAGAACTATTATATAGTAGTAAACAATGCAGCATGAATTAAACGAGTGAAATTAAATTGGTTTGTTTGCTGAATTTTGGTAGGGAAAATCACATGGTTAGAAGGTCATAACTGAGACGTGGGCACGCGTAGGCACGAGCGCATTTGTTTAATGTAAAATACAGCTTTCCCATTTTGTGTGATCCCATATATGATTTATTGTATTTGACTAATTATATAATGCTACTTCAAAAACTTCCCCAATCCCAAAAACGATAGTAGGGTTTAACGTATATATGAGAGTTGACGGATTAGTTTTTTGTGTTTATTCAAAATTGATGTATTAGTTGATTTTTTTTTGAAAACTTTACAAAATTAGGAACTACAAAAAAGATACTATGATTTGTAAATTTATCTTAAAATGTATTAAAAACCTGTATCAACTCCTCAATAGTAAGGGTATCATTTTAGAGATTTTTACACATATAGCCGACCATATTTATTGTTATTCTTTTTAGCCATATACATAGATTATGTATTGATTATACACAACTATACACATATAGTACATAAACTATACATATATTATACCTCCACCGGCTATTTTTAGTTTAAGCGGTTGGATAGTAGGCTATTTGGGTTAATTTTTTATCATTTTATTACGGATAAAGGACCGTTAAAATTTTAACTCGTTTATAACATTTCCCCCACTTGAGTTGGCGACGTCCTCGGCGCCTTACTTGAAAGATAATCATCAATCAGACTCTTGTAGGCTTTGAGGTTTATTTCCCTCTCCCAAGTATTCTCCTCTGTATCACATCCGTGCCATTTCACCAAGAACTCTTGGTGATCTTTCCTTGAAGGGTGAATAACTCAATCATTGAGAATAGCTTCTGCACGCCTTTTCTCGGTTAATTTGGGGCCTCAAATACTGGGTATTGTGAGTTGGCTCTGCGAGGGATCCTCCATGTCTTCCCAAAAGGATTTTAGAAGGCTGACATGGAGGACTGGATGAATCTTCCACCAGGTTGGGGTATCCAACCGGTATGCAACTTTTTTTATGCGCTTCTCAATAGACCAATGTACTTCTGCAATAGGCGAGGGTCATGGACCCCTACAAAAAAGGTATCGCTTTGGGATTTTCACCATCACTTTATCCCCCACTTGGTATTCAACAAAGCAACGATTTTGATCAGCATACTTTTTCATCCGCTTTTAGGCTTTCACTAGATAGCTCCGCACTATCTCCAAATTTTGCTTTCATTCTTTCGAGAACCTAGCGGCTCGAGGAGATATCGACATATTTGGGGCATTCACACTGTGTGGGAGTAGTGGTTGCTATTCGGTAATAATTTCAAAAGCACTTCTGTTTGTACTAGAGCTCTTTTGTGAATTAAAACACAATTGAGCAGCATCTAGAAGCTTCACCAAATTATTCTATGATCCGGTAACAAAATGGTGAAGGTATTCCCCCAGCATGCCATTGAACCGCTCCGTCTGGACATCAGATTGCGGATGGAAATTTGGAAGGTAGCTCAACTTGGACCCGAGAAACTTAAAGAGCTGAGTTCAAAAGTTGCTATTGAAGCGAGAGTCGTGATCAGTAACAATGTCTTAGACATGCCTCAATATTTGACAATATGAGCAAAGAAGAGTTGAGCTGCATCTTTTGCTGATATATTTCTTGGGACTGCTATAAATGTAGCATATTTAGAAAATCAATCTACCACAACCAAGATAGTTTTAAGATCTCCGACCTTGGGTAATCTGGTGATGAAATCTAGTGAGACGATTTCCCAAGGTCTCTTTGGAACAGGCAATGGCTCCAAAAGTCCTACTCGTGTCAAGCGGTCGGACTTATCTTTCTAGCATACTAGACAAGTCTTCACATACTGAGCAACATCATCTACCATTTGGGGCCAATAATAAGCACGGCGCAACAATGCCATGGTCCATTTTTCCCTGGGTAGTCGGCCCATAAAGTGTTGCGGCATTCTATCACAAGAGTCTTTCGTAGCTCTCCTCCTTTAGGAACATAAAGTTGGTTCCCTTTTACCTTCAGAAACCCATCTTCCGTGTAGAACTGACGGGTCTTGCCCTGTCCTGCCAAGTCGACCAAATACTGTGTAGAAGGATCCTTGGTGAGTAGATCTTGTATCTGGTCTTTTATATAGGTGGCCACTTCACTCCCCCTTAGGGTGGCGAGTAGGCACACAGATGCTAGGTTAGCTCTTCGATTGAGTGCATCGGCAACTTGGTTGGTCTTCCTGTTCGGATACTACATATTGAAGTGGAATTTCGCTAGTAGTTCCTACCACCTGGTTTGTCGACTGTTTAGCTTTGGCTGGGTCATAAAATGACTAACCACCATGTTGTCTGTCTTGACCATGAACGGGGTTCCTAGCAGATAGTGTCTCCAAAGGCGTAAGCAGTAGATGACAACCAATAATTCTTTTTCATGGGCGACATAGCGCCGCTCTGTATCCTTTAACTTCTGGCTCTCGTACGCAACCGGATGCCCATCCTATAATAAGACTCTGCCCAGGGCATTAGTCCAAGGAATTCGTTTGTACTTTAAGCGACTTGTCCAAGTTAGGAAGAGCCACGACGGGCTACTAGACATAGCCACTTTCAATGCATTGAAGGCTTTCGCTCGCCTGAGACCCCAATGCCAAGGTGTGACTTTCTTTAGGAGTTCTATCAACAGCACTACAATGAGAGTAATTTTTCACAAATCACCGATAAAAGTTCCATAGGCCAAGTAACGCCCTCAAGGCGTGGTTATCCTTAGGCGGAAGCTAATAAGTGATAGCCTGAATCTTTTGTTGGTCTATCTTGATCCTCCCCTCGTCGATATAATGTCTGAGGAAGTTGATTTGTTTTTGGGAGAAGGAGAACTTGGATAGCTTCACATACAATTCATGCTCATGTAGTCGAGCTAGAACCTTCCACTGGTGCTCCAGATGTTCCTCCAGTATTTTGCTATATACCACAATGTCTTCCAAGTAGACCACTATGAATTCGTCAATATACTCTCAGAAGACTTGGTTCATCTGGGTGGAGCATTAGTAAAGCCGAATGGCATGACCAGGAAGTCGTACGACCCATATCTTGTTACACAGGTTATTTTATGTTCATATCCCTTGGCAATCTAGACTTGCCAGTAACCTGTCTTCATATCTATTTGGTGAACACTGTAGCACCATCCAATCTATCGAACAAGTTTGCCATTAGTAGGATAGGGTACTTGTTCTTCACAGTGATCTTGTTTAGGGCACGATAATCCACACACAATCTTAGGGTACCACCGTGTTTCTTTTGGAACAACACAAGGGATCCATAAGGGGACTTGGAGGGCACAATGATCCCCGTGTCTAGCATTCCCGTCTACGAAGTTCAGTGAGTTCAAGTTGTAACATTTTTTATAGCGCCCAGGCGGGTAGCTTCGAATCCGACACCAACTCAATCTCATAGTCCACAGTTCATCTAGGCAGATGCCTCTTTGGCATGTCCCATGGCATGACGTCTTCAAACTCTTTTAGCAGCTCATCCACAGGTGTAGGAATAGGACTCGAAGAACGTTCAATATCTTCAATACAGAGGGTAGCCAGGAACGTAGGTTCATGTCGTTTGACTCCCTTCTTCAATTGTAAGGTCGTGATGTTCCCCACGGGCATCTTTATTGTTATGCATGAGACAATGTAGGGGTTGGTCCCGTTTTCTCCCATCATCAGTAGCATATCAACATAAGGTACAAGAATAATGTTGGTTTGCCTCATGAATTTGTCACGACCCCAATTTTCTTCCGAAGGATATCGTGATGGAACCTAGTCTCTAAGACTAGGTAAGCCTAATACTTACTGAATTTATCACATATCTTAATC